GAGAGAACCCACGCTGCACGGGGAGAACATGGAGACTCCACGCAGAAAGATCCTGGGTGTCGTGACGTAATTGTTTTGATGCAATTCCAAAACCAAACGTCTGGGTTTATAGCAAATGCCTCGTCTATGTTAATTGAAATGGCTGCACATCCTGACCTCCGCTAGAATTTCAGAGTTCAGAACATCACGTTGTTGAAAACAGTTGTTGTTTCAAGCTGAGGCCACACCTGGACAACTCCACGCACAATGTCGTAGCTATGAGTCTAATCAGATTAAAGCAGAAAAGGCAGGATGTTTGCATGAAACAGATTTCCATCTGGTTATTCAAATCAATGTAAACATGATACTTATATGCAGCAGCATCACAGTAAGTCCCTGTCGGTCGTTTTAGTTCATGATATGACAGCGCCCCCCTTACAGAGCCTGCTGCAGACTCGTCATTGCAGAGTAAGACATGGATTCATGTAACAACAAATTACAACAATACAAACAGCCTGCAGGCGTTTTAAATTTAGATTCATCATCTGAAAATGATTTTTCCTTCTCATAGCTCCAAATGTAGCGCACCTGTCATGGAGTCTTCATCCTCTGCAGTTCGGATTTTTGAGTCAGACGCGCACACCTGGTTGTAGGTGACACCTCCGATGACAGTGCACGTAACCTCCTCGACGTTTCCGCTGCCCATGTTGAGCTGGATCCCCTCTGATGCCAGCGCCTCGTAGCTGGGGCCAGTGATGATGATTAACTGGAGAAGAGAGGTGAAAAAACAACGATGACACTCAGCAATAAAACTCTCCTTGATGTCTACCGGATACTCTTTCACCGACCTGCGAGCCCTCCAAGGCCGTCCTCTGGTCGGGCATCTCGCAGCCGGTCACCACCGTCTGCAGAGTCTGAGGGTCGAACAGCTCGCTCTGCTCTTGTACCTGCATGGGCGGAGGGACCGACAGCTCCGGCTGAGCGCCCAGAGGGACCGATCCGCTCAGGCTCTGCGACAGCACCGAGTCCTCGTCGGCCTTCTCCAGTTCATCAGCTAAAGACGACGTCACTGTAACGCACTCGTAGTCGTGCCGAACAGTCCTGATTTCTTCCTCTCTGAGCCGCTCTCCTTCTGCCTCCCCTCCATCCTTGCCTCGTCTCAGATCCTCAGCCTCCTCTTCCTCTTCTTCCTCCTCCTCCTCCTCCTCCTCCTCTGCAGGGATGGAGCGAAACGCTGCAGTGAGGGAACCTTGCTGTCGCACCATCTCCATCTCCATCTCCCAGACGGGCTGTCCTGTCAGCGGGGCGTCCCTGGCCTCTAAGCTGGGCTGGTGGTTTAGAGCTGCAGCCTCTTCTATGGAGCTCACAGTCGTATGTTGCGCCTCAGAATCATCCACATTTTCTTCCACATCTATACAAACGGAGTACATATTTAAAACTGACCCACTCATCAACAACAAACACCCAAAATGAATCAGAATACAAACTAAAAAAAAACACCATTCAGCACCTTTGAACTGCTTGTGAGCCTCCTTCCTCCTCTTGCGGCTCACAGCGCCTTTCGCCACCAGCATGTCCGTCTTTGCTGCTTCTCCGTCTCCATCCCTGTTCCCTCCTTCATCGGAGTCACTCGCTTCCCTCAGCGGGGAGAAAAGGTATTGCACAAACGAGTGGTTGGAGTCACACTGCCAGATGGCGGCGGTGGAGAAGTTGGACTGGGGCTCCAGAGCTCGGAGCTGGGGCTCGTGGGGGCAGGAGTGCGAGTG